ATCAGACAGTGAATTGTAATACTGGTTCTTTACTAGTGTGACCATTTTAGATACAGGATTCAAAATGTCTATTTACAGAGAAGCCTTCAGTGGGAGTAACGGATCACATCCTATAGTGCTCAAGAGATTATATAAGAATTTGAAAAGATGACGATCAGGAGTAGTATAAAGCCAAGCGGGCAATACTATTCATTCATAATTATAATTACTGATTATTTTAAGTTGTTTGAATTTGGAGTGATTTTTGTTTTAAATTATTTATTTTTCATTTCCTGTGTAAATATATTTATTTTGATGTGAATCTACCATCTGGATTGTAATATGTACAGAATGTATGGTAGGAATGTACTCTGCTTATAGGAATGTATTATACAATGAATTGGGTTGGAAGCCATCTTTTTTTTCTGTTTTGGAAAATGTATTATTTTTGTTTCTGTTTTGTTTCCTGTATTATAATTTTGGGGTGGTGTTTGTGGCAGTGTTAAGGTCTACACTCCCTACCCCTGTTTAAATATGAGTATTTAATGTCTGTGTACTTCATAGTGTGCAAGGGAAAAAATTGTGAAGCAATACTTTATTCTCTTCAAAAACTTCTGAGGTTCAGACTCCAAAGCTTATTTTTAGGAAAGTCTATCTATAACCCTCAATGCCAAAACATATGAAGAGCAGAAACGAGTGCTTTGTGATGCCGGTTACTGTTAGTATGACGTGGTGTCTCCCTGTCTTCAGCCTATACCCCAGACCACCTGTCTGGGGAAATATAACGAGTTCAGTGGTTTTCGAGAGAGACTACCAGGAGCTGATGGGTGTGTGTATGTGTGTATGTGTGTGTTTTGGGGGGGGTTGGCCGGGGGTGGGGTGGGGGAAGGGGGTTCCCCTTTTCTGCTCAGTAAGAGAGGCTGTATTTTTCACAGACCTTGGGAGCTGTGCCTTTTCTATGCAATTACCAACATATTCATTTTGAGGAAAACCCACCCACCAACTGATGATCACTGTATTTAAAACAAGGTGTGGACTGTAGAATATATATAAAATATGGACAGGTGTCTATGAATTTGAAACAGTCTTACTTTTGTAGTTTTATATCATACAATAAACTATTCGAAATAAAATTAATTTGATCTTTGTCATTTTTTGCTTTATCATATTTACAAAATTCACTTGAAGCATTAAAAAAAATATATGACCGATGATGTATAGTACAATGTCTATATACTGTACACTCCAGACTAATCAACAGGTTTTATGATCTTTTCAGTGTTCTCATCACTTTTCTTTCTCTCCTCTGTATCTCAAAGCTAATATGAAGAATTTCTGCATCAACAGTTGCCACCATTTTGTAACTCTGACTCATGAGCTGTTACTGTGAGCCTATTTCCAGCATTGGGGCCACACAGCTGCGGAGAGCAGAGCCACTTTTAGTTCATAGCGCATGGCTGTGTCTCGTTTGTGTGCATGAGGCAGTAGGAAGGGGAAGCCAGGCAGGAGCATGGCCTAGTCATCTAGTTAGGACAGTGAGGATGTTTTTTCCCTTATGAAGAGCACTGTCTTTATGTGAAGGAGTGAGTCACTCACAGAGCAACCAAGGCACCACACAGTTATACACCATGTACGACACTCTTAGCCTGTCTGTTTGTAGAATTGGATTTAAATTTGACATTCATTTTGCCACTGTTTTGTCTATTGGTCAAGTAATAATCATGTAACTAATAGGGCAGGTTGAGTATTTGTCAGTGATATTTTGGAAATATTTACAGTATTTTAGTGATATTTTGGAAGGTTTAAGAGAATAAAATATAGATGTTGGCTTATATTATTTTCAAAGAATTTACTGCAGTATTAAGCATTAGCTTCGTCTTCCAAGTTCTATCAAAACAGCACACTTTGTGTGTGCCACAATTGTGTCATAGTTAAACTAGCAAATTCATATTGTGAAAAACTTCATAGCCTGTTTCACATACTTTAAAAGTCAGTCGTGTATCGTAAAATACTTGATGCACTTGTTGCAACACAAAACTCAACTGAATGTCTTGTTAAATCTCTATATGTGTTTCATAATTAGTGATCAAGTTTTTAATGAATTTGCATTGAATCACTCTAATCATCTCACCCTCAGTGTGTTTTAACACTTTCCTTCATGCAAGTCCGTTTCAGTTATCCCAGAGGTCTCAGATTGATGACTCAGCATTTTCGTCCACATGCAAACACATCAAATGAACTCAGAAATGAGCCACAAGTGAACCTCCACAGGTGATCTGAGTATAGTTCGTTTGTGGTTCATTTTCTGGTCAATTTCAATTGTGCATGCTAAAAATCAGTGTTATGAGTCTGCATCACATTTTGCTTTATGGATACAGAACATGTGGGTTGCTGTACAGACATAGCTTCAGCTTTTGGCTTTCCGTGCAGTCGTGTGTTCCCACAGCAAAGTTAGCAGTGTTAGGTAGCAACATGATAGGTATTCTAATAACGGCACTGAGGCACTAGCAAGTATGCTACTGAGTTTAAGTACTTAAGCAGCAGCAACAACAACAACAATACTAATAATAATAATAATAATAATAATAATAATAATAATAATAATGTGTCAGTGACAGGAACAAAATTTACTGTATATTACTATTGTAATATATACTCACTGAGCACTTTATTAGGAACACCCATACATCTACTCATTCATGTAATTATCTAATAAGCCAATCACAAGGCAGCAGTGCAATGCATAAAATCATGCAGATATGGGTTAGCAGCAGCAGATAATGTTCACATCAACCATCAGAATGGGGAAAAAATGTGATCTCGGTGATTTTGACCGTGGCATGATTGTTGGTGCCAGACGGGCTGGTTTGAGTATTTCTATAACTGCTGATCTCCTGGGATTTTCACACACAGCAATCTCTAGAGTTTACTCAGAATGGTGCAATAAAGAAAAAACATCCAGTGAGCAGCAGTTCTGTGGATGGAAATACCTTGTTGATGAGAGGTAAAGGAAGAATGGCCAGACTGGTTCGAGCTGACAGGAAGGCTACAGTAACTCAGATAACCACTCTGTACAATTGGGGTGAGCAGAAAAGCATCTCAGAATGCACAACACGTTAAACCTTGAGGCGGATGGGCTACAACAGCAGAAGACCACGTCGGGTTCCACTTCTGTAAGCCAAGAACAGAAAGCTGAGGCTGCACAGTGGGCACAGGCTCACCAAAACTGGACAGTTGAAGACTGCCTTGTGTCAACAGTCCAGGCTGGTGGAGGTGGTATAATGGTGTGGGGAATGTTTTCTTTGCACACTTTGGGCCCGTTAATACCAATCAATCATCGCTTGAATGCCATAGCCTATTTAAGTATTGTTTCTGACCAAGTGCATCCCTTCATGGTTACAATTTACCCATCTTCTAATGGCAACTTCCAGCATGATAATGCACCATGTCACAAAGGAAATGTCATCTCAAACTGGTTTCATGAACATGACAAGTTGACAATGTTCTTCAGTGGCCTTCCCAATCACAGGATCTGAATCCCGTAGAACACCTTTGGGATGTGGTAGAATGGGAGATTCACAGCATGAAAGTGCACCTGAAAAATCTGCAGAAATTGCATGATGCGATCATGTCAACATGAACCAGAATCTCAAAGAAATGTTTCCAACATCTTGTGGACTCCATGCCATGAAGAATGGAGGCTGTTTTGAGAGCAAAGGGAGTCAATTTTTTGTTCGTAATAAAGTGTTCGTTGAGTGTATGTCATATATGAATGTATTTTGTCTACTGACATGAGCTAAAAAGGCAATGGCTCTATGGCATGAATTTATATCCACAGCCAAAAGACAGCATCATCAAGCAACCATTTTGAATCACAGATAACTCAGTGTTTCACAGCTATTACACTATGGTAAAGATTGCTGTGGTTTGAACAAGTGGTCTGAGATCTCATCAGTGCTACAATGTCCAGAAAGAGAACTGGGTCCCATTTTGAGTCCACTTCTGAATAGATATCATTCAAGTCTACTCTATTCCTATCTTTCTCCCTCTGTGTCTTCAAGATCACGTTTACTTTATGAAGACTCTGACATAGCTGCAGTCCTTTGGTACATGTACAGTATATCACGAACGGCAGACAGATGGATGCAAGTGCATCAGCATTTATTAAAACCATCCAAAGTATACAAACCAGTCTTGTGACTGAGAATCAAGTGATGTGCAAACTGGGTCATGGCAGTTGCAGTTGACAATGAACCTGACAGTAAACCCCTGTCAGTAGGAGGTGCTTCATTCTAAGGGCTGGATACTATGGGCTTGAGGAATGAGTCATGAAAACTGGGTGAGACGCAATATTGATGGAGTAACAGGAGTTTATATATAAACTCATTGTTGCGCAGAATGAATTTAAAGGGGCCAATATATCCGAGGATGAGTTTCTGACCACCTCTGAACCCTGGTGGATATTCAGACTCTGTCTCTGGGTTCTTAGGTGGGTGTTGCTGATATGCATGCAAATTCATTGTCTTTATGACCAGATGCTTGTAGCCTTCCTCTAAAACCCTTTCACTTTTTTGTAACCAATGGCAGGTGCATCCATGGGTGTGGCACTCCAAAGGAAACAGGAGTTTGGTAAACAAGCATGCACTGGTATGGAGATGATTGGCAGAGTGATGGAAGGAGTTTTTGGCTCTTGGGAGAAAATGTGTCCACTCTTCTTCTCAATTGGCACAGAATGTTTGTTTATTTATTTATTTACCTTTCTAAGCACCTTTCTAACATCCAAAGTCGCTTTACATATTATGTAACACAAGTTGTTCTTCTTTTTCTTTTGGCTGCTCCCATTAGGGGTCACCACAGCAGATCCTCTGTCTTCAATATGGAAACCGGTTTATGATTTGATATTTGATTTGGCACAGGTTTTATGCCGGATACCCTTCCCGACGCAACCCTCCCATTTTATCTGGGCTTGGGACAGGCACTGAGAGTGCACTTGCTCGTGCAACCCCAATGGCTGGGTTTGGTGCCCAATGTGGGGCTTAAACCCATGACACTGAGATTGAGTCTCATGCTCTACCGACTGAACTAGCTGGGCACCAAAGTATGTAACAACATCAATTAAAAAAAGTTCTAAGGCATTTTTCTATTTCTTGGTTTGCGTTCTCAACTTGGCCACTGGCCTGAGAATCATAGCCAAATGATAAACGGACTAAGATTCCCATATTTTCCAAGAATGCTTACCCCACTTGTGAAGTAAAGTGAGGCCCCCTGTCAGACACTGTGTCTTCGAGGATGTCGAAATACGGTTAACATGCTCAGTGGTTTCAAAGGCTGTTGGCAAGGCAGGGAGAGGAATAAGTCTTAGGGATTTCGATAATCTGTCCACAACCACTAGAATATTTGTCATGCCTTGGGATAAGGGCAGATTTCTAACAGAATCTAAGGTGAGGTGCAACAATGGCTACTGAGGAATTGGAGTGGCAAGTGTGCCAGTGGGAAGAATCCTAGGAACTTTGGATTGGGCACACAATAAGCATCATTTGATAAAATGCTGAAGCATGGATTCTCACCAGTATTTAGTGACAAGCAGCTGGTAGGTTTTGGTCACCCCAGGTTGACCAGTAGCTAGAGAAATATGCGCACAGGTGATGAAGGCATCAGAGATAGAGGAAATAAATGTTTTATCTGGGGCCACTATGCCAGGACTAATTGAATGTCTTAGGGCCTGCATTATTTCATGGTTAAGGTCCCAACTGATGGTGTCCCAAAACAGGTAGGACTGTTTCTGTTGTTTCAGGTTTGCAGCTTGTTGGGTAAATTATGGATAAAACATCAGACTTGACAGAATCGTGTCAAATAGTAAACTGAAATCTTGAAAAAAAGATCTTGTGGTGTGAAATGCTTGCTTGTTAGGTATTCAGGGTTTTTATGGTTGTAAAGGGGTAATCTGATGTAGATGTAAAGGGGTAATCTTTGTTGGGTTGAGCAATGTGTAATTAGCTGCTGGTGGCTGGTATAATGGGAGCAGGACCAGGAATCCCCAGTTGCTGGAGTTGTTCAGTGAGGTTTCCTAGCGAGACATGAGGGGCAGAGTTTTGGTGCTGTTGTCACCCACTACACGTCCTAGTGGCAATGTCTATTATAAATGGCAGACAGATTGATGCAGGTGAAGGTTCAGCTTTAATTAAAATCATTCAAATTAGACAAACCAAAGTGAGTAAGCAATTATCAAAATGAGGGACAGGCAGAAGGTCAGATGACTGGTGAACAGGCATAAACTAGCACAGATTGTGCAGCAGAAGTCAAACCAAGTAGACTAAGAATTGTCACAGGAAAATGCTAGGGTGAGATTTTGCAAAATCTGAATGAAAAGCCTGATTATTTAAAGGCAGTATGAGTGATTGAGTACAGGTGTGTCTCATTAGAAGTCTGGAGATTATGACCATGACTACGTTTCAGTCTGGTCTTTGACTGAGTCATGTGATATGGGAACTGGTTGTGGGAACTGATTGTGGGAGTTGGAGTTCGTACCTGCTACAGACCTGGTTGTGAAGTTGAAAAGTTCTTAATTCTACCAAATCCATTTGCAACCAGACAGCAGCGCTGTACGCCAAGACATTTTTTTAAAATCACAACTCTGGCCAATGTCATTTGCAGTACAAAACTACAATAATTTCTGTTTCAGGTTCAGGATTACTGAGCTCACACACCTGTATTTCTGGCCGATTGTGCTGATGGTTCAAACTATATCTCACACATTTTCCCTCTTTTCTCTACTTTTCATGTGTAGTGTTGTGTGCAGTACATTATAAGAAGGGAACTTATCATTTTTAAGTGTTGAGATGGTTATTTGATTATTCCATAAATATTACCACTAGTATGACAGAATAACACACAGAGCTATTCAACTATTAGAACCAGTGGTCATAGTTGCAGAGACAAACTGCCTAAGCAGCTGCATTTATAATTGGATTCTGCTCAGTTCATAGAGGGCATCTACAGCCTTTCTTGTTTCTATGAAAGTGCGTGGGGGGGTGGGGGGGTGGGGGTTGTCACTGCAGTAGACTTGCACTCTGCTCTGCCCTCCTTCCCGCCCTCCCTCCACCTCTCCCTGTCAGGTTGGCTTTGTGCGGCTATCTGAATGATCCTGTTCCGCTCGGCCTGTGGAGGGAATGAAGCCACGCCTGCTCTCCGCCAACCACAAGCCCAGCTCAGCACACTCACACACACATACACACACACACACACACACACACACAGAGTCACACATGTTTATATAATGCCTATGTCAGCACAGCATTGCCCCCACTGGCTGGAATGTACAGTGCTTTGTGTGGAGGCCCCTACATCTCTCTGCACTCCACCCTCTAAGGAACCCGCTTAACTAGTGATGATACATTACTGCAGCGTTGTTGTAATTTTTTTTACATTAGGGACAAAAATGTTCATACAAATACCTGCAAATGAAGCACATTCCAAAGACTCACATGCTCACCTGGTAACTAAACACATTCCAAGAAAAATGTAAAGCTTCAAGAATGTTGAGAGCAGTGTTTGTACAGAAGAGTGTTTTGTCACACCATGTCTACTGACTAGATAAACAGCAATTTGCTCAAGTAAAATCAGACATATTACCAAGGTCATTTGTCATCACAGTAGAAGTAACAGATATGACCTTCAGAGACAAAGATAACTTTACTCTGATAATTTAAAACAGCAGGCTTAACCATTTCTCTAGGATAAAAGGTCTCACAAATTGTGCAAATTCCATAGAACTGTACTCTGAATGATCACCATTCTTCCAAAAGATATTCCCTCAGTTGTTGTTTTGATGCTTGATGGTAGAGACGCTGTTGAACACGTCAGCCAAAATCTCCCACAGGTGTTCACTTGCTGACTGTGAAGGCCATAGCAGATGATTTAAACCATTTTTATACTTATCAAACTATTTGGTGAGCCCTCAGTCCCTGTGGATGGCGACATTATCATCCTGCAAGAGACCACTCCCATCAGAATAGAAATATTTTATCATAGGGTAAAGGAGAATAGTCAAAATATCTTTGTATTAATTTGCAATGATCCTGCCCTCGAAGGAGACAAGTTGACCAGAATTATGCCTGCAATAAATGCTCCCAAAACATAACATCCATTTTCCCTTTCATTTCAGTGCTGGATGTCAGTGCCAAAGGTCTCTGGAAGTTAATGATTATGAAGGACAGAATGGAGATACCAAAGACCAGCTGAGAAGAGGGTAAATCTGAACAGTGTGATTTGAGACTAAGAGACATATTAGTACTTGTCTAGTAACACCTTTAAGCTAATGTGGCACTAATGACTAAAGTGACATCTTATGTGATTTTATGTAATTTCATGAATACCATATAGAAAAAGTCACATTTGCCTAAAGTTATTAAGAGACAGGTGCTCACGCCAGTTCTTTCATCTACTCTAATTAAATTTAGTTATCACATCCATGCTGTACATAACAAATCTTGAAAGAGAGGACAATAATGGAGTCAGATGATCTTGACTTTCATGAACAAATTGTTCACCTTTTGCATTTTCATTTAGGTTACATGAGTAAATGCATGTGATTGCATGTGTGCATGAACAAGTTCATGTGATTTCCAGTGTGTAAATGTTGAAGGGAAAGACCCAGAGTGAGGAGCCAGAACAGGAAGTAAAAGGCAGACCACACACAGCTGCAGCATGGAAGCAGTGGGTGTGAGGAAGTGTGTGGGAGTGTGACATTAAAAAACAGACAAACAAGGGACAGATAGAAATAAAGAGACAGAGAGACAGTATTATAATAGATGAAGAATGTAAAAACCCATGCTTGAAAATTGTGAATTAAATGACAAAATATGAGATCTGAGAGTCTATTTCATTCTTTATTAGACAGTATCAGATCAAATGACATGAACCCTTGTTTTATATACCCTGAAGAATTCAGGATACTTTTAAACACAGCCCCATTTTTATTATTTTATTGATTTTGGCAACACAATAGCCCTATTTTTCACCAGGGCCATGCTGGTGGTTGACGGTTGGTGTCAGTTAAAGGGCTGGATGTTGCAAGCAGGAGAAAGAGGCGTATAGACAGATGAGGTGTTCAGCAGGCCCAGGTGCACCCAGTCGGATCGCTGTGTCCAGTGTGAAGCCCTTCTGCAGGCCTTTCCGCATGAGAAGGTGAGGAGAATGGAGCAGTGGGAGAGGAGCACTGTGCTACTGCAGCATTAACCTAATTACACCCAGGCTGTACTAAATAAACACTTATTAAATTTGCATGCTCAAATACACTTATGAACGGACAGGGTCAGAATGCGAGCTGCTTTTCACCCTCACTCAGGGAACACCAAGAATCCACACAGTTTTCACTGAACTCATGGGTGTGCAGTATTCGTTTCTGCTAAAACCAGGCAAGTTGATGTGACTAGTGTCAGTAGAATAGTGGACTGTACTTGAACTACATGGACACATATTGCAAAAACCTAAAGAGAGCAAACTGAATCTTTTTGCGCCTTATATAAAATATAACTTACTAATAGGGACATTTAATACACCCCTCCAGAGACCATTAGCAAGTAATATGACATTAAGCATTACGTTTATGTGGCCAAATGATTATATTACTAATGATCTAATGATCGAGTCCCTACAGATGGCCTAACTCATTAGACAGTTTGTTGGTTTATTGCACAAGCCTGCCCCCTAGTGTCTAAAATAATTATTACTTACAACCAATTTATTTTCAGGTCCCAACCCTCAGGTCTCAAGCTAACTTGTATGCAATAGCATTATGCAGTATATACTGTAATGAAACACAACATATTAATAAACAAACACTACATACCTGCATATGATATATGAAATAAATGGTTCAGATAAATCAAACATAATTTCAACTATTACAAACAAATTAAACTGAAATGAAAGTAGCACAAAAATTATTGTAAACGTTATGCATATCTATAAACTTTATGAAATAAAAAGGTCATAAATATCAAAGTTGGGCGGTCACAGGAATTACATTTACCAGTTACATGTAAATTGTACAATATTTCTGAGGCTGTCCTTAGTAAGCATAATGTATTT